CGGAAGGTTTCCAGATGGATATGCGGAGCAAATCCATCTGGCAGAGTCAGGTTAGTCAGAAGCGGCAGCTAAACCCCTGATGGCGGCTCCTCTGCTGACTCACCTTGTTGGGGTCCTTCAGGATCAGGTATTTGCCCTCATCCAGCTTGCGGCAGATGTCGATGACGCAGCGGAGGATTCCCCAGGCGTTCTCCATGCTCAGGTTGATCTGGCTGGCAAACTCGTTTGGTTTGAACTGCTGGGTTCCCAGGATGACGTGGCGGGAAGAGTCCTTCACGTGGTAACGAGAGACGTACCTGGAGAGCAGAGTCATTTAGGACAGAGGACCAATGAAATGCCTTCAAAGCTTGTCCTAAATTTAATCTGCGTCCGGCTGAACTGCAGACTCCACAGCAACATGGCAGCCTTTATAATCAGAACCGTTCTTACGAACAAATGTATTCCTAAATCGTTCATATGATTGATTTAGGAGAAAAAATGTTTTAATCTTTTATGGAGCTCCTCTGGGCTTCAGTGCAGTGGAGCAAAGGCGGTGGATGAGAGGTTTGCAGCCGAGCCGGACACGGAGAACCCTGTGAAAGAAGGAAGCTGATTCAGGTTCCTCACCCAAGCTTCAGGTACTCGGATCCAGCCAGCATGGCACAGCAGGTCCAACGAGCCAGTTTGTAGCTGTTGTTCTTCAGCTCGGTGGCTAGGACGGCGCCTCGCTGAGAGTCCAGCTTCTGACGCCAATCCACTCCGTTACAATACTGAGGATCAACCAAACCACAGAGACGGCCATTTTATCTTCTATTCAATCCATGTGTTTACAGAATTATTACTGCATTACTTTATTAAGTCTCATATTTACAGCAGGGACACTAAAAAGGCTTTATGATTAATCGTTACGTATAGAAGCAGCCATTCAAAATGGCTTCCCAGTCAAAAACCACTCAGTCACTCAACTTTAACTCATTTGTCGATGACCTGCATCCTTGATTTGAATCTTTTTTTCATTAAAAAACTAAAGTGTAGGACCTGAGGCCCCGGTGTGACCTCCTACCCTGGAGTCCCACTCATTAAGAGTCTTGACGTTGATGAAGGACACTTCTCCGTTCGCTCCAGTCATCACCCCATCGTGTTCACAGCGGACGATCAGGTCGATGTCTTCTCCAAGCTTCCAGTGGCGGTACCTGAATCACAGCATGTCTCATCATTTCTCTGATGTACCAAAAATTAAGATCCTCCCGCTAAAAACAAAAACCTCAGCTCCCTACCTGTAGGCTACAGACGCCACCTCACTCTTGTCCATGTCCTCCTCCACAAACGGGTTGGGATTTGGGAACTTGTACCTCTCTGCACCCTGAATCCGGAGGATAAAAACGGCTTTATTTTCAGAACGAGGCAGTAAACGAGGACGGAGCGGACGTGAGCGCCGCAGCTTACCATGCGTAGACACTGCTGGCTGAAGTTGTGGTTGATGTAGGTGGCCTCCATGGCCAGGTTACGAGGAGAGTTGAAGGAGTTTCCCTCATCCTGCGGCGGCTCGTTGGCCGTTTCGCTCACAGTCAGCAGATCTGAGAGGAACAGAAAGAAGAGCAAGAAAAACAACATTAATTAAAATTTGAAAAAAAGAATAAATAAAAGAATCAACTGCTCAATTAAATGCTAGGAGCTGTAGAATCCTGACAACTGGTTTGTCCAACAAATCGAGTTTAATTAAAACCAGTTCAACATAAAAGAATGAGTAACAGAAGCTTCTCTGTCCAGGAGAGACTGGATCTAACCTGGAGTCAGTCTCAGAGTTTATTTAGGCCGTTTCTCTTTACACAAGAACACGAATCTGGACTCGTGTTCTCGCCAAGTATGTTCTTGATAAGAACACAGGAAAGTCTGGACTTGGTTAAAACGGGAGCGAGAAGCATAAAAATGGGTCAATTGGAACAGAAGCGTACTGATGACATCACCACATGCTCGGCTCGTCTGGAGCTGCATTTCACCTCCTGATATTAATAGTTTACAGATAATAAATTCTTACTTTTTTCATTCAGTGGGGGAATAATAATAAACACAGTCAGATTAAGACAAATCAAATGAACATTTTGCCAAAAAAAAAAAAAAAACTCGCCATCAGAGCCAGTGGTCCTTATCACACGGCTAGATAGGGCTGGTGCAGACGAGCTAACGTTGACGTTAGCCCGCTGGTTGTCGCGGGCATCTAAACTTTGGAAAATGTTCTTTTACTTGCGTATTAAATCATTAAATGGACCATATAGTGACGCTTTAAAGTATAAAAGTCTCGCCTAAAAAAAAAAACGTGCTTTTATTGAACAACAGCAACAGAAAAGAGTAGTTTAAACTTTTAAACTCTGTGAGCGCTCCATTGAAAGCTGCTGCAGTGCATGCTGGGACAGCTGTCAATCTCAAGACCGGACACGTCTGCTCTGATGCATGCTGGGTAAAGAGGGAGGGGAGAGAACAACATTCGAGGTCTT